ACGCTTCCTGTTTCACGTTTCTCGCCATAATTCTGTTTCCTTGCCACGGCCAAACCGTTTGAGATCAAAAATCACAACACAAGCTTTCATCCTCAATGTCTTAACTTCGCGCTGACTGAGTTTCGTCGAATTTGGATCAGTGCTCTAGGAGGAGTAATTTGAATTCCATTGCATGCGTTTTACAAACAACCGTAAATAGCCAACTTCCTGTTGGGCTTGGGAAAAAGTAAGAGTGTGAAGTATATGAAACGATGAGATCTACATGTGTACCGAGTTTCATATTATTACATGCAAGCGTGTTTGATTTATGGACCAAGTTTTTGAACCCCATTTGATGGCCGCGGGTTCTGAAGTGTGTGCAAAGTTTCAAGAGTTTTCAAGCATGTTAAGGGCCCTAAAAGTGCCTGAATAGTCGTAAGAAAAATAATAATAATAATAGAAAAAATAACCCTAACGAAAACAATAGGGCCTTCGCCTTTTCAAAGCTTGGGCCCTAATTAAAGATGGAATAAGAGAAATTAAAGACCTAATGCAAAGTGTTGGAAATGCTGAAATACGGTCTTGTCTTGAAAGTTTGTCGAGTTTGTTCACAGAAGCAAGTCATCTTCATGGTGTGGTGGTTTCTATGCTCCAACCTGAGGAACAAGAAAAACAATATACTTGGTTTTGCAGTGTTGAAGACCATAAAACTGCTTTTGTGGAGGAGACAAATAAATGGCTGCTGGAGGCACCAGCAGAGGGGGTTGTTGCACCATGTTTAGGATCTGCTTTTTTTGACGATGAGGCATGTATAGGTAACGCTGTGGAAAATGTAGATGAGTGATAGTCTGTCTAATGTGTCGTTGAGATCAAAGAAATACAATCTATGCACGAACCCTGCTGACGTATGTCAGAAAGAATATACAAGAGACATCTGCGAGTGGAAGGAATGTAGTAAAAATGGTCTGGTCTCAACCTAGTTCAAAGGTTAGAGACAAGAGTTTCGCTACCACTGTAGCACCTGCTGAGAATAAGGGGGAGCCTGGGTTTAAAAGGGAGAAGAACTCACTAGTGAAAGTTTGTTCGGTTTGTGGGGCTAGGCACTCGTTAGATGCTTGTTTTTAGTTTGGATAAAAGTTTCCTGAGAGAATTTCCTTTTTGAAGGAGAATCGTATGTGTTTTGGATGTCTGTGAGTTGGACACATGAGTAAAGACTGTCGAAAACGTATGACATGTAAAGTATGCAATAATAGGCATCCCATGTTGTTGCATATCCACCCCACAGCAAAACCAACAAGGATGCTCTGCAGGATAAACAACCTGGTCTGTCCATGAGGATAAGCGCTTCACTGAGTTGGTATCAGAGTCTACTAAGCTCATTGATGGTCATTATAGTATTGGTTTGCAAGTGAAGCTGGTGTTTGAATAAGGATCCATAAAAGACGTTTGAATAAGGATCCATCTTTTCACTCCGATTACATCGCATTCATGTCCAAGATGTTGGTGAACGGGTGTTCCAACCGAGCAGTCGACCCATTGTGATGGAAGGGTATGGTATATACCTCATCATGGGGTGTATCATTCTAAGAAGAAAAAACTGTGGGTAGTCTTTGATCGTGGAGTGACGTTTCAGGGGACATCGTTGAACTCACAGCTTCATCAGGGACCAGATTTCACAAACTTGTTAGTGGGAGTGCTTACACGATTCCGTAAAGAACCTGTAGTGCTCGTGGGAGATATTGAGGCCATGTATCATCAGGTCCGAGTACCGGCTGAAGACTCTGATCTGTTAAGGTTCCTGTGGTGGCCTGATGGAGATTGCAGTCAAGAGCTAGTTTTTTGGTGCTACTTCATCTCCTAGCTGTGCCTGTTTCGCCTTGAGAAAGTGTGCTGAAGACAATCAAAGGTGCTTTAGTTCTAATGCAGTTAACACAATCTTGCATCATTTCTACGTTGATGATTGTTTGGTGTCGACTGGCTCTGAAGAGGAAGCAGTTCTTGTACATCGAGAGCTTAGTGCCTTGTGTGCGGAAGGTGGGTTTAAGCTCTGTTCTCGCGACTATTTCTCAGGATGAGCGCGCTAAGGTGGTAAAAGATTTGGATTTGAATAGTGACGCTCTGCCCGTAGAGTATGTCTTGGGTGTGCAGTGGTGTGTCCAATCTGACTCATTCAAGTTTAAAATCACACTCAAAACTCATCCACTCACAAGAAGAGGAATCTTGTCTGTGACGAGTTCGATCTATGACCCTCTTGGTTTCTTGGCACCTGTTGTTTTGTCCACCAAGAAAATCCTCCAAGACCTCTGTAGGAGAAGTTTGGGATGGGACGAACCTTTGCCCTCTTTAGTGACTAAAGAATGGACGGCTTGGTTACTGTGGGTGTGACCCAAGGGGGTAATCCATCAACCGGAAGTTGAAGCCTCGCGGGAGCTGACATCTTGTAGCAGAACTTCACTTGCGTTAGCATTCCCATTGACTCCAATTCATTTTGGCGTCATTTTGACCGCGAATAACTTTACATCTGAGGCGTTTGAAGACCTCCTTTGTCCTTTATTTCTAAAGAAACACGACAATGTATAAATAGCTCCATTACCTTGTAGCTTATGTTATGGCCCCGAAGAAGCAGTTTTAGTGAAAGTAGGCTAACGATTGCGTCATACCCACGCGACTCTGTCGCACAGTGAAGAGATTACCGTATAGACATGAGTAGAAGCTCGCGCGGAATCGGGGAAACGTGGAGGCAAAATTACAAAGTAATTAATCAGAATACCTAGCAAAATTGTCTCCTTCTCTTCGCTCATGGACAGCTCCTATTCACACTCTCCACCTCTGCATGTTTCGGAAGGGAATGATTCAGATTTCTCATGCCACAGCACTAGAAGACAGACGGGTCACTCACGTCTCATCTACGTAGTCCAGCTCTGTTTGAGTCTGCGCATCAGGGACATAAGTGCTAAAAAATCGCCAAAAACGGGCTTCAATCGTCTCAATGGAGTTCCAATGAGATCGCTCTGTCCATTTCTTTTACTGTCTATGGTGTGACCGGGGGTGTGGTGTCTGTATTAATGTGTGAGTGTGCTCACCTGTGGGCAAGCTTGAGTTTGGATTATGGCTGCAGGGTGAGCATGGGGAGAAACTTTCTGTTGACCATTACCATCATTGTCATCATCACTAACATCTTTCACTGATGTCTCTGAGGTACCTTTGCACTGTGTTTACAACATGTATCACTCAAAGTAAGTGATTGGTTTTCTATATATGTGAAATAGCGTAATAAAGAGACTCAATACGTACAATGGTTCAGCGTGACGCGACTTCAGTGTAAATCCTCATGTTTCAGCCTGCTGCGGCGTTTTAGTTGTTTTGGTTAGGTTTGGTTGGTTTTTGTTTTAGTGATATACGCCGCAATATTTAGCATGCCATATGATCCTATATTTAAAGTTCATTATTTTGTTTATTGGTTGTAATATGTTCAAAACATATTATTTTTCACATAGCCTACTGTACATTATTGCATCTCCTCTATGGGCTCTTTGCACGGCATTATTTCTGGTGAAGGATGCTCAATAACTTCCGCCGATCGTAGAGTCCAATGCAATACTGAGAATTTTTATTGAATTTTATACTCCATGGTTATACTAAAAAATATGTTAAACAAAAACCGACAAAACAGACACCCCTCGTTGTGTTTATGCTTCTTTTTAAAATTATATTAAATAAACAAACTATATAAAATTACATCTAAATGTATGAAAGTTTCATTTCAAAGACTGGAGGACAGTAAATTTTGAAGACTCTGCCATAATCCCGTTTTCCTCCGCTTTAATCTCCCCAACCAGAAACTGACGAGCATTTATGCGTGCATATAGCCCATTCTCAGTCAGTCTGAAACACTGATTTGATTTCTAAAAAGCCCCTCCTTCTGAAAAGCTCAGAGTGCTCTGATTGGCCAGCTGACCCAGTGTGTTTATTGTGATTGGCCAAAAAAACACCAAGCGTGTCGGAAATGTAACTTCAGCTTTCAAGACTTCTAATGAAGCAAAATGCTTCATGGTTCATTAGACGTCTTGAAAGCTGAAGTTGCAATAATAACGTTGTTGTTTTGTTGTATCAGTTGAGCAGAATGTTTTACTGTGGTAAGTATTATTTAGCCTGCGTTGTACCAAAGACTGTAGAATTACACTTAAAAGGGACTTTGGTTGTACTAACCAAAAGCTGTCGTCTGTAAAATGCGCGGTGCACAAGAAAACGTTACTGCTCAGGATTTACCATTTCTTAATTCCTAATGTCATCCGTATTTGCAAGGCCAAAGCAATCGGCGTTGCATTCATATGCAGCGTCTCCACGACAACATGATTATTATTGTTATTATTAGTATTGTTATTATTATTATGTCTGATTATTGTTGCCATGACTACTGAGGTCAGGCACACCTGAATTAATCAATTTGTCCAATAATGGCTCACAGGAAACAAGGAGCTGGCTGAAGTTCAGGAAGTAGTGCAGCTGGGCATAAAGCCCATTCCCTGGCCTGAAGCCTGCCTGTGTCACACTGTGACGTAGATGTCTGAGCTGAGGAAATAATACTTCAATCTATCTGTTTAGGCAGGTCTGGATCTGTGTTAATTTTAGATAGAATAAATGTTTGGGAGACTATGAGCTCACTTTGCAGATGCAAAATCAGACATTACTAAAGAAAAAAGAAAACATTCAATGCATCATGGACCATTTAACCTATAAGTTAGTTCTGTTATTTTTTAAAAAGGAAAAATATATTTTTTTTTCTGTATAAAGCACAATAACAATATTATCTAAAAGTAGCGTGTTTTAATCTATATTGCCTACTTTTATTATTCTTTTCTGCACTTTATTTTCATCTTTCCGTTAGCGTATCCATCAGCACACTGCGTCTCTTATTTAGCACGCATAAAAGTGCAGTTTACTGAACTCATGCAGAGAAACACGTTATCACAAGTGTGTGAAAGCGTCATGGCACAGACATGCAGCATTAGCCTACTAACTGTAGATGTCTTCCTCTCGAGCTCCAGCCACCGTCCCGTCCGCCAGGATCTGAAGGTGATATCCTCCATTCATACAGTACAGCCGCGCGAGCTTCTTATAGTCGGGCGGGTTGAATTTCACTGCAATATCGGCCTCGGTGGTCATGCCTACTATTCAGTGATCTATTCTGAGCTCAGCCCTGTTTGAAAACAGAAAACGACCGTGACTCAAACCTAGCGAGTTGCTTGCTTGCAGCTTTTCAGGGCAGCTGGCCCGCAACGAGCATGCGATGGTCGAAAATGCTGCCTAGAACAGCAGGTTTGAGACACGGTTAATAATGCTGAAGCTGCAGGGGACGAGGAACGGTTTGTATTCATTAACTGGGACTCAAGACTTGGCTGTTTGTTTGACATATCATTATGAAATTTTCATTATGAAAACAAAACATACACAGAGTAATGAATATCAATAAGTTAGGGTTACTCCATTTAACCTCCATTTTCTTTTTAAAATGGCTTACTGCATGCTGGTGACACTATAATTTTCTACCACTATAGGTGACATTTTATTTAACCGTTACACGTTACATGCATTTACTGAGTAATAGGAGTAAATGACGCATAATTAGCTGTGACTAAACCTGAACCAAACTCTATTAACCCAATAGTAAGGTCTCAAAGGGAATATTACTAATTCATTACTAGTAGGCTACATTGTGATGGAGATGGATTGGTTTGTTGTTAGGAGATGGTCTTTAATATGTGCAGCCTTTTTAAATTCAATTGTTATCAGCCCTTCTATTTTAGGCATTCGGGCTTTGCCATTGCAACTTTTATCCTTTCAACTGTCCAGACTTAAATATGAAAAATGGATTATTTAGAATAAAAAAAAAAATAGGGATGTCACTATCGCATCACCATATGTCACCATGCAACATTATACATTGTGGATGGCAGTATTGGGGGAAGAGACTTTTAAAAATGATGTTACAATATTACATTACTCTCTAAAAAAGTAACTAAATGTGTTATTTATTTACTTCATGGAAAGTAATGCAGTATTTTACTTTTGCATTTTATATATATATATAACAACATATAAATATTTTTGGCAAATGTAAGGCCCCATAAAAAATAAATAAATAAAACATTTTCTGTTCTGTATTGCAGAAGAATAGGATTCAGGAGAAGAAAGTTCAGAAGTTCTCTTAATTCAGCAATAAAAACAAACAAACAAAAATGTGATGTTTAGCTAAGGTAATATTTGCTGATTCATATGACTGGGTTATCAAAAGTCAGCACCAAAGACATTGATTAATAAAGTCCAATCCAGAACATATATTTGTGTTATTTAACATTTAATTATTGCAGGTTTGCAATAATATTCAGTTTGCATTTCAGTTTTGATCCATTTCGATGAATTACTGAATCTGTTTTTGTGCCCTGAAAGACTTTTAGTCTAGATTGTACAACAAAAACCTCTGTACTTATTCCCTGTTTCTCTCAACATGGGGACAGGAGAGCTTTCAGTCAATGAATGTGGAAAAAGAGTAACTTGCGTTACTTGTTTGAAAAAGTAACTCAGATATTTTGTTGTAAATGTAAAAGTAATGTGTTACTTTACTTACTTGAAAAAGTAATCTGATTACATACCTTGCATTACTTGTGGATAGTTCGCCCAAAATTAAAGTTTAGAGAGATTTAATTTCGCATCAGATGTTAAGGTCACATAGTTTCTATTTTTACTAATTATAAATAAATTTAAAATAAACTACATTATTTAACTGTTTACCTACACGCGTTAGAAGTAATAATAAAAAAACCCAGACCATTTTAACATTTCATTTTGTTCAAAATATTGTCTGAGTATCATATTGTGAGATCAGTATCGAACAGAATTGTGACGATTGTATTGTTACACAAAAAATGATAATACCCAATAAGAGGTAAGACATGAAGTTAAAGCCCACCCCAACATAACAGGCCACTCCTGATTCAATAGGGTCTAAGAGAACATTTTATTAGACATGTTGCAAAAGTTAATGTAAATACATCTGTTTATTTGTATCATATATATCTGTAGGAACAGAAGAGCAAAGTGAAAAGTGCTGCTCAGATATTGATTTAGAATTTTGAAAACAAGTGTTGATCGCTAAATCTGTACCACACATTGCAATGCTAAGTAGTTTGAAGCTGGAGATACCATCTGATTTTTATTCATCCATTAAGCTTCCACAGAAGAAATTAAAAAATATTCTTATCTTCTCTTTTCCCTCTCATGAATACATATACGTTTGACAGCTGTTAAGACAAGCACAGTTTTAGATTGTACAAATTGAAAGCAGTATATGTTTGGCACAGAAATAACAGATAGCAACAATACAGGTGAGTAGAAATTCCCAGAGTTAACCATGCTCCTGCGCCACAGTTTGACTGAATGAACCATCAGACAGACAAGGTTAGTTATGCGGATAATTAGTCTAGACCTGATTAAAAAAAAAAAAAAAAAAACATACGCCGCTGTACAGAATCTTTGCTGCAAATATAAATGAAATGGGCCTGAGTTGATGTTTGGTGTAGCTGAGCACGATTGTACTATATCTGACAATTAAAAACATCTGTTTGTATGAATTCAGAAGGTTATATGTACTGTAATCTGCATCCTTTGTTTTGGTTGTATACAGTGGCATTACTATGTAAGCCACGGACAATGAGGGAACAATTACGACACGCACACGAAAACAAAACCGACAAAAATGTTTCACATTGCATAATTCCTATATGGACTAACAGGTGAAATTTATAATAAATGGCTTTCTTTGACATTATTAATACATCTTTCTGCAGAACAAACCTAAATCAGCCCCTTTAAAGCATTTACAGGGAGTGAAAGTGCTAAATTTGCATTTTTCGACTGACCAATCAGTGTAAAAATAATCATTAGATGCATCTCCATGTCTTATCAATAAGGATCACTTCTACCGATTACAAAGCTGCCAAAAAAAAAACAAAAAAAAAAACAGCCATTATTAAAATTACAAGTGCAAGTGAGTATAAAAGTACAATCGACTATGAAGAAGTCCTAACACAGTGGGTGCCAGATGTCTGCTGCGGACGAGTCAAGAGAACGGCTAAAAAGGAAACAAGCTAAAAAAAAGGCACATATTTTCCCTTTTTTCTGTATATATGTAATTCTGTTAACGACATGACTTGTTTTTAAAACAGTGATGATATGTTGTTATACAAAACGCATTTCATTTTTTTCAAACCAAGCTGAAGCCATTATCTCTGTAGATATTATTTTAAATGATTATTTGAAACTGTCATCATCATCCGAAGTTATAAAGTATGATATCTGAAGATAATCTGACGTAAAAGAAACTACATAATCTGCGCATACTGGACTGTCAATGCTAGGGTGCTGCATCTGCTCCAAAAATAAAACATGTGAGGAACTCTACATAGTAAGTGATCTTAGACAATTGGGTTTCATCTACTGATAATTAATGCTGGGAGTCAAACACCTGAGACGACATGTATGTGATGGCCTCACGGTTAGGTAATTTCAACAGTTCAGCCATTTGTTAGCTTTTATAGAACCTCTCTAAATACCCGTCTCTTCCACTGTATTCTGGTCAATCGTGGAGATCTGTGCTGGGTTGCATACTGTCCTGCCCCTAACCCTCTCTGCGCCTCCGTCTCGCTCTGCTCTGCCTTCCTCTGCTGTCTCGGGGTGGAGTAGGAGTGAGGATGGGGTGGATGTTTAAGGCATTGTGTCCTGCTGCTGGGAGGAGATTCACTTCTGGTGAAAGAGCAGTGCCTTGACACTCCCGGCTTTGAATTTTGGTAACTGATTGCTGATGATCTCCGCAAGCATTTCGGGAAACTCCACGCTGAGGGATTTATTGACAAACGTGAAGAAACAGAAGTTCAGGAGTCCACCCACCATCTGAAGAGACACAGGGGTTAGAGATTCAAACTTTGTAAACAGCATTTGTAATGCACTCTGCTTGCATTTCCGAATTATAGTATTGGTTACTATCTTGGTTTCATCAAATGAAGAGGAGTGGAGGAAGAAGTGGATTTTAGAAGTGGAGGAAGCTGATGCATTTTGAAAGAAATGACTACTCTAATTTAGAGGTAGAACGATTAATCGGTCGGTCGATTAATCGTCCGATTTTTGGCATTTTTTTTAACATAATCGGCATCGGCCAATATCCAAGTATATCAAAAAGGGCAGGCGCATCTGTGGGCAGCCTAGTGTTGTCATGGAACACATGTTTGACACACGCTGCCGCTAGAGTCATTTTCCAGCCGAGTGAGCAGCAGACCTAAATATGAACACGTTCAGAAACTATCGTTCATTGAACGCATTCAGGCACAACACTGACCGTTAGTTAGTAGTTGGATTAAACATGGTTAAAATGCTGGCCAAACAGTGTAAAGTGTGACTGTATTTCACTGTAGACTGAAAGGTCCAACAGACGGACGGTGCGTTGTTGTGCATTTAAAGTTTTTGTAAAATATCCTTTTCCCATCTGGTGATTGTTTTTGTTGTTCAACAGCAAATTACTAGTGAAATACGTTATTGTCGGAAGTTAAATAAAATAAAATAATTAGGTTATGTCCATTTGTATTTGTCCAACAAACAAAACAAACCAAAAATACATGTTTCAGGACATTTTTTGAGAGGATAAAATGTTTTTGTTGAGAAAGTTTGTCTGTTAAGTAAATATGATTTCTTTTCTTTAATAGAGGTTAAAAACCAAGCAAATATCGGACAAAATAAATCGGCAGCATTAATCGACCATCGGCCGACCCGGATTTCAAAAGATCGGTATCGGCATCGGCGTGAAAAAATACCATATCGGTCGATCTCTTCTCTAATTCAGCAAGGATGCATTAAAAGTGTCGGTAGCGTTTTTCCACGAAAATATTAAGCAGAACAGCTGTTTTCAACATTAATAATAAAAGTAAATGTCTCTTGAGCAGCGAATCAGAATATTAGAATGATTTCTGAAGACTGGAGTAAATGATGCTGAAAATTTAGCTTTGCATCACAGGAAATGAATGGCATTTTGAAATATGTTCAAATAGATAATTATTTTAAGCTGTAATATTTCAGTTTTTTGGTTTTCTTATCAGACTTAAGGCCTGTTCACACCGGGACGAATTTCGCACACGATATTCGCCGACGTTTAACGCCTCGTGACTAAACAAAGGTTGCCAATGTGAGTGTGCACACCGACACGAAAAACGGCACGCATAAAAGCGTAATTTTTTTAAAAAAATCGGCCTCGGGTTAGTATTTTTTTTGTTTTGTTTTTGTTTTGTTTTTTTTCTTTTGCTCACGTGCCTAGCGCCAGACACACCATTAAGTGCCATCCAATGTCAGGGAATGAATTGTCGTCATGTTCACTCGGCTCATTGTCAGCGAAAATCGCTTGGGTGTGAACACACAAAACGCTGGCGAATAACGCGCCCGTTATTCGTCCCGGTGTGTACGGACCTTAATATGCACTGCCGAATGAAAGGCACATAAAAAAGGGCCAATTCATGCTGTTGATCATCTAAAATGATCATCAATGCAAAAAATAAAAATAAAAAAAAAGATAAACAATAGACATTTGCTCTGTTTCAAAACCTTGTGAGTTGCCTCAGTAGCTGCATCATAGATAAACTAGAGGTGAAGGCTGTTTCAAAAAGCAAGCATAAATATTACATGCTGCCTTATGACACCTCTTCTAAAGTAGCATAGCATATGTACTTTGCAGTGAAGCGAATCCTAAAAAGCATTACCAAAAATTCAGTGAAAAAAAATCCAATCCATGGCGTACAGCATTAAAGGATTACTGTATTTCATTCAATGCTGAAAGTATCAAGTAAAAATGATTTTACTATAATATATAGTATAAAGCTGTTAATTTAGTAATAATTAAACGATTTAATATAGTGTAGTCTATTGTGTGCCATGTTATTAGAGTATTGTATCATTATCTTAGCAACATGCAATGGTTTACTGGGATAACTTGCTGAATTGAGTCTTTCGAGCGGTATTAGTGTGACACACAGTGGTCTATATTAGTTTGGATGCTGCCTTAGAAGGCAGCCACCTATGTAGACTGTAAACAGCTAGGCAGCTCACTAGGGTTTGGAGCAGAGCCATACTTTTCTATATGCATTATTTAGGATAAAACTGCATTACATCGTGCATGGAGTCCAGTAGCTTAGTGAGCTGATAGAATCGCTGCCAGTTCTGGCTGGAGTTCTCCTCTCTCTTCACAATGGCCTTGCCCAGTTCTTTAATGTAAGACATTCGTAGCTCATCAAACACTGTCTGGCTCTTCAAACCATCCTTCGGTACTGAGAAACCACAGAAACATAAAAAAGGTACAATAATGTTGCTTTTTAAGCTCATTTGACACCAAGTGAATACATCTGGTCTCTCAGGGAACCTGAAACCATATATAATATGGCTCAATGACTTCTAACGTAGCTCACCTGTGCTCAGGAGCAGAAGGACTTTCATGCACAGGTACTCCTCATTGGACACTTGCAGTCTCACAAACTCATTGGAGATCTTCAGCATCTGTTCACACTGATCATTCATGTAGGGCAACTTCATCCTCTCTCTGTGGACAGAGACAAATAACTCTAAGTTTAACTGCCCATATAAGCACAAATAAAAGTAAAAGATGTTACTATAAAACGGATAGTTTTATAGTTTATCCGCTTTGTTAAATGAGACACATACTCATTGATCACTAGGTCTGGTGCGAAACACAGCATGTTTCCATTACACTGCTGGTATGATCTCCAACCTAGTCCAAAAGACATGAGGAACAGCCAGGAGCTTTGCAGGAGGGTCATCTGATCGTCCAGGTGAAGGTTCCGGAAGCCTAAAAAGGGCAGAATAGAGGTTTTTACCATGTCAACAGGACTTTTATCAACTTAGAAGACATCCTAAGTTGTACCTGGCAGAGCTTTGGCCCATTTAACCGCAGAGATGACTTGCCGGCCGCCCAGCCTGTTCAGAGTGGTCATGAGGCGGGTGGACGTGTCCGGTACGGTGCTGTCGTATCCGGCATAGATGGTTTCCGGCTCAATGGCCTTCAGTAGTGACAGCATGGTGGGCACCAGCTGAGGCATGGGTTTGGGTACCAGTGCCCGGGCCTCGGGCAGTGGGGAAAGATTGCGCTCTGGAATCGTCGGCTGCTGGATTACCTTGCCTGTTTGACGTCCCTTCTTGGTTTTACGGGCTGAGCAGTGAATGAGGAAAGTTTACAACAGTCAGTTCTCAAACTTTATGCATTTCCCTTAATTAAATGTAACATTTGTTATAAATCTAGACTGACATTTGGGTACACACTGGTATAATTATGTAATAAGTGCAACATTTCGTGTTACCCTCAAGGTTCATGCCTGCCATGAGGCATTTGCGGAAACGACAGGCAGGGCAGTTCTTCCGGCGGATTTTGTCAATGATGCAATCGTTCCGTCCGGCGCACAGGTAATTGTGTTGCCCTATGAGAATCAAGTATAGTGTGGATTAGACAGGATGTCTCTCAAAAATCCCTCATCATGCACAGGAGCTGTCAAACACCCACTGCATGTATTTGCTGTTTTTTTTTTTTTTAACTTACAAGTAAGAACAATGAAAATTTCTGCCACTAACATATATGCTAATTAACAGAAGTTCTTGTAAAATCCTTTTCAAGTTATTTGTCTGCAGATTATCCAAATGCATTTCCTCTGTCAAGCAGAGACGCATTTCAACACCCACATAATAAAAGGCGATGAATGAGACGAGTATGAATCATTTGAGATAGACATGCAGTGAGAAGTCAGTTCATGCTGGAAGGACGTGGTCTCTAACTCTGCCTAATCAGGTAAAGACGGACCGAGACAAAAAATATCACATATTTTTGTTACCATCACTGATTTGTCTTGTATTGTAGTGTACTAAAACTATTCAAAATAAAACTTGAGTGTACTTTCATAACGGTTTCTTAACACAATTTTGCAAAAGCTCATGTAAAAGACTTGATAATCATTTTCAGTGTAGTGTATTCAATTTTACAGTTAAAGTTTTTAAATGTACTAAAATGCAACTTAATCATTACAAATGTAGAAGTACACATATATTTAAATGCATGACGTGTGAATTTCAAAATAAATGAGGTAGATTAAGGTATATTTTAGTTGACCCTAAATGCTCGTCAGCACATTCGGCTAGGGGTGGGTGATATACCAGTAGACACGATTAACCGGTATAAATGTCAACCAGTCTTAACACAGTTTGAATCCACGCCTGTTCTCTTACTTCAAAAAAAGCATGTGACCAATCCAGTCAATGTGCAACATATCATTATTTCTAAGGATGCTGATTTTTCGAAGGCAGCTGTGTGACAGGTGAACGGGGACGTGGTTTGATAATGTAGTTAAGTCAAAGGCTTATCATATCAATTGCTATTATTTGTTCGAATTTTTTAAAATTCTGAATGGATTATATTTGGCGTGCAAAGACGGCTCTAGATTATAATCACTAAAAAGCTGCCATTCAGTTCGTGATCTCACAAAGTTATAATCAATCAAGTTGTTGATAATGAAGTTGTCTACACTGCAATGACAGCAATTTACATCATGTCCACACTTTGTTAATGAGAGGATTTGAGTGTGCAGAACTCGAAGCTAAACAAAAACTCTAGTTTTTAACCAGTGAGTGGATTCTGAATGTATTAATTCAAGAGATGAGCAAACATGTCTGTGATTGGCTACATTGCACATAGTAAATAGAAACTTTTGAATTCTCCAGAGCACAAACACATAGACGCACTAGCTGATATATTGGCGAATAAATCTATATCCAAATTTTATATAATTTCTGATCGCCTGTTTCAGTGGTTAAAGCAAAAAAAAAAAAATCTTTTGACTGAAAATTTGTCCTTGGCCAAACCCCATTCCAAAGCCTGTCACGCACCCAGTTTATGAGCAGTTTTTTCTTCTTCTTGTAATTAGGAGTATAGTGAGTACATGCTTTATCCTCATTAATTAACTACTCAAAGAACATTTTCATTTAAAAAAGGCCATTTTGAACTGCGTTTGTATTATATACACACTTTATGACATTTTAATCTAATGCTTTCAAAAGACTTTACTCTTTGTGATGTAAATAATTAACCATTTGCTTAACTTTAACACAAGTTTTTGTTACTCAAATAATAAAAGCCAACAGAGCTTTTGTTGAAAAGTGATATCACAAACTATACATAATATAATATCTGTTCTGTTTTTACCTAGCCATTATAAATGAATATTATAATGTTCTATATTAATGTTATTATTATTTTTATTTTATAATGTTATATTATAATTTTATTATGACCACCAGTATAGTGGTCCTTACTATACTGGTGAAATATACAGTAACATATTCAAGGACCAAATAGAAATAGTAATATAATACGAATTTTATGGCATTATAATTAATAGGCGCTTGTGGTGTTAAATTGAGCTTTATTTTCCACTGTAATTAGCTAAGAACAATTATACTGTATGTATTAAACAAGAACACACTGTAATAATGTTAATCTCATGGGCACAGTATAATACTTGCTCTTCCTCTCTCATCTCAATCACATTCTCTCTTACTTCTTTTCACATTCTCCAAATCTTTTCCTGTAGTCTATGTCTAATCTTTCCAAACCGTTACATATAGTATTATAAATGTTAGTATTATAAATTCAGACGTTCATGATCTAACACGTATTACTAAACATATCTAATAAACATATTAGAATAACTTTTAAAATGGAATGAACACGGAGCAGTTTTTCTGTGAGTGGGAATGGAAAACCCGGAGTGGACTCTGTGCAGAGAGGAACGTGTTTTTGCTCCACTCCAGGCTTTAATGACGCCCCCCTCAGAAGCGTGAATACACCTCATCTTTTCTTAATTTAAGACCTATTCAAACTGAAATCAAGACATTTAACACTATTTGAGAAAAGTAAGCATATTTATGGCCTTAAAATTATGAAAAGTGAATTTAAGACATAAGGATAGACGGGAAAATGAATGTGGGGTGGTGATGGCGCAGTTGATAAGACACATGCCTTTGGTGTGAGAGACCCAGGTTCAAATCCACTGTGAGACACCAATGTGTCCCTGAGCCTGACACTTAACCCCTAGTTGCTCCAGAGGCGTGTGACCGACATGTATAACAATTGTAAAGTTGTCAGCTAAATGAATAAATGTAAATCCTTCAAAGACTTGCTGCAGATCTTTAATCTGCTGATTACAAAAACAAAAGTCTCGCCAATAAAAGCCATGTCCCAAGCACACCTTTATAATGGTCTCATTAAAATTTTATATAGCCTATATGACAGACTTGCGCTGAACATGTTGCACTTTACTGTTTTTTCCTCTTTTTTTTAAGTGATTCCAATCACATTTCAAGCTATTCAAACCATCATGTCGAACAGTGCGCATATGAAGTGTCTCAGCTGAAGGAAATAATCTATTTATTGGCTTTAATATGATAATATTATAAATTCTAGACTCTAGATTCATAGATGGACTCGATGAGCATTCATGTCATACAGTGAGCGCTCTCACTTATCACTGAGCCTATCACTGAGGAGCCTGTGAGCTGGATCACAAACAAAATACAGATCCATCCTCCAGTAACAACAGGGGCCTGTACCATGATGGTAGTTGAACAAACTCAGGGTTGCAGGATTAGTTTCGAGTTGACAAAACCAAACCAATCCAGCCAGGCTTTGTTGGTACCATGATGCTGATCTTCAACTTTCTCTGTCAACTCAGGCTTTGATCCTGAGTTTAGGAGTTTAGGTGTGACATCAGTAGCAAACAGCCAATCACATGCTGAGAAAGAGTGAAACTCTTTCAAAACTCATTGAAATAAATTTCTCACGAGAGAAGTAGCGCAATTCATTTATTAAATGAAAGTATTCAAATATTAAGAATTTAAACAAATTTACACAGCAAGAAGAAAATAGCTGTCTATGAAAGAGGAAAACTAAAAGAAAGTCTCGCTACTGTATATCAGTGCAAGTAAAAGTTGTGAAGTTAGTTCATACAGTTGGTAAAGATATAGAGAGAATTGAACATTTAAGCTCACATGTAGTCATTTTATAGCTTCATTTATTGATTCTAAATCGTATTTATATTACCTTTTATATACTGTACGTATTCATTTAAAATCTATGTAATAATAATAATTGATGAACTGAAATTGTACGTGTGATCGTTTTACGGTATAATAATTACAGAAATAATTTATAAATCATACAAATTTATTTACTAAAAGCCATGATTTTGTTTTTTAAAATCATTTGCTGTGGAGTGACTATCACGTCACACATGTGTCACTTGATTGGTCCAAGTTCGGTTTGCAACCTCTTACCTGGAACATAACCTGCCTCGGACCAGGTTAGCTGTGGAGTGTAAGTTCCTATGGCAATGAACACTGTGCCAACCCTGGGTTTTAGGTACCATGAAAGTGGTTTGGCTTTTAGCAAACTAAACTGAAACATAGCTGGCTAGCCACCTAAACCGGCTTTATGGTATAGGCCCCGGGAGTAAATAAAGATAGCTATGTTCATTCCAGTGCAGCAATGCCAGATATGTACAACTCGCTGTGAACTCGATCAGCGCGGTTCTATGTTAAAACGGCAGTGTCTGTCAACATTCGTGGGCTGATGTGACGTCACACCAGCCCCATGGCTGAAAACAGGTCGCTTGGAGACGCTGCTTATGATTTATAAGGATTTAAAAAAAAAAATAGTGGGTGGATTTTTATCACTATAGGGTGGTTTTATACACACACTGCCAACACACATTTATGTCCAAACACCATGCAAAAGTGAATTTTGCACAATAGGTCCCCCTTTAAGTATTTCTGTAATAAGTACTCTTTTTAAAAGAAAGCTAAAGTGTATGCAAAATGAATACAGGATTCCTCACCTTCAACTGCTCTCTTAAAGAAGACTTTACAGCTGCCACAAGTGAGGACGCCATAATGGCAGCCCGAAGCTTCATCCGAGCACACCAGACAGATCTTATGTACGCCTGTGCCGGATTTTCCAACAGTCGAGGGTGTGGCAGTGCTGTCTTCAGGTCTGAAACACACAGAACACAAGAATATATGTATATTAATGTAGAGGAAAAATAATATTGCTCAACGATTTTAAACAATAATTAATTAACATTGTTCAATGGGAATGACGAGAACCAATCATTAGCAATACAAATGAATTAATTTAGCACTGAAAATGAATAAGTTAGAAGCCAGTGCATTGATAACAAAACATAATAAAGGATGTTAGACCGGCCACCAGGGGGCGACGGCTGAATGTAGCCAAAACACTTAGCACCGCTCCACCTCCACACTGGCTGCATGAAGCCACATTTGCAACGCCTACACGCATTCAGTGTGAGAAAAAGACAGAATACAAGTAGGCCTTCACAGCGTAGTAGAAATAAAATAAACAGTGGATTGCATGCAAATCCAGCAAGTGAAGCAAAGCAAAAATGGAGGAGAGCACAGTTGCATATCCTCTTTAGACAGCACAAACCTGTTTCCTTGCAAGAACAGATAACATCTGCTTTTATAACATCAGCACTTAGCGATGTAGCTCAGTGAACAAATGCCACATTATTAATAGCTGTGGTATCATTATGATTTACTGCTTACAAAATGATACAGGCTATAATTACATAGGAGCATACCTATGACACAACTGGTACTGACTTTGTGATATCATTTGGACTACAGTTGATTTATTTGCATGACGATGAGTGGTCGGGACTGATTTAATGTATTCGCATGTGAGAGAAACAAAGAAACATGGAGTAATGTGAAGATGTGTCCCAGACAAGTTACGACGAGGCCGATCATGTTTGGCACAAAGCGAAACTGGTGAAACTTCTTTTGTTTACAGTTAAGCAATGTCACAACTCGCAGCATTAATACAGGACCCAACTGATATGCATGTTATATTAGTTTTGCTGATTTAAGTCTATGATTCACATGTTACATAATGTGAAGTGTTTGCACAGATGCCTGATTATCAATCATCTTATCTTTTGGTTTTGTGTACATCAAGTTCCAAATAAATAAGATACAATCAAATAAGATACCTGTTATTTAAGTATTTTATTGATATATAACGAATTGTACTACATGGTTATGCAATTTGTAAAGAACACTCAACTGCTTTACTCGCATCTAATCTTATCATGATGCATTTTAATTGCCCTTTTTTTCACTTTATTGGGCTAGTTTTAATTGGTCATGCATGCTTGCAGTTACATTTAATAGCATCGAGTTGTGTCTTTCAGTTTTAACCTGTTCTCTATAACTTAGTTTTTGAAGAGCCCTGCTCTATTCAGTGGGTTAGCATTACAGAAAAGATGTGTCAAGTACCACCACCTGTAACGAAGCCAAATGATGATGAGATGTAGGATTATTAGGATTTTTTTCTTCTGTCCTGAGAAGTAAATGTGAGTGAATAAAAATTAAAATAAAAATTGTGGGCCAGAGACTTCTGGGGGTTCTGTGCATCAGTTGCCGATTGGATGTTGAGAAGTGGGCGTGGCGGCTCAAACGTGACGGCAGGGGCATGTTCAAGTTCAAAACGGTGCGCAACGTTTTGCTACGGTTTCCTAGTTGAACGTCATGTTTCCAGGAAACGCAACTGGGTTTGAGATGTTTTCTCTCGTTTGGTGGGTGTGTCAGAACTGCAATCCAATCAGCAGCAACTAAAGCACGCGGTATTAAAGTGAACTCGCACAATGGGTTTAAGGAAAATAATTTACAAATGTGTTCAATGCAGATCCCTATATGCAACAACTGAGGATATTAGAAGATATGTTTGTCGTTTATTGTAAAAATATAGGATATCAACATGATGTAGTTTATTATATTTTTTAGCTTCATTGCAAGTGTATGACATTTGGTATAGAAATAAAAAATGGTAAGTGCTTTTCCTAAAAATGAGAAAGAAAATAGGTTATTAAAACATTATGAAATACAAATAAAGTTAGTGTGCGAGGCTAAACAGAATGTGTTTTAGTCTGAATTAGGTAAGGCGTGTGCTTTCAGTTTCCACAAATCCCTTCACTTGATTGGGATGTTCTCTTGTGTTCTGGGCGGCAAGTGCAGTTACTGTAACATCGGGTATATTTTGTAGTATTAAACACATATTTATACCGACTTCATCAGGCTCTGAAAATTCTTCTTAAAGAACACAGAGAATGGCCTTATCGGGCTCCATATTTGCAACTCTTGCGTCATCAGAGCGGGGTGTTCAACGCATCACCGTTTCTGTTTAAAAAACGCTGAGCAACGTTTTGTCTGGGCTGAACGCAGCCCAGATGTTTGCAGGGATGACTAAATGATTGGAAAAGTCCTACATGTGTCACCAGACAGAGGTCTGTCTGTTTCAATGAAAAATCCCATTATAACATTTTCAATTAAACATTACACGCAGTGTTTGCCAGTAACTCCCTACACTCGGATTGCCCCCCAATGTCTAATCTGTTCCGCCACAGTTTCATTATGAAACAATATTTTTTTTACACTTCTCATAATAACATAAAAAAGAATTTCTTTGGCGATGTATTTATAAAACAAACTAAAATTGAAAGCGCAATAAGGCTTAGTGCTCTTAAGCTGTGATTTAATTAAAGAACACTTTGCTCATGCGATCAGCTCGTGATCTAGTGATTTTAGTGTCTCAGAATGGCTCCGTTCACAGTCAATACAGCAACTCTCTGCATAAGCTGTCCATTTAACATACATTTTGGGAATGCAACACATATCAGTTATGAATTATTTTCACATTTTCATAATTCACAACATTTTTGTGGACATAGGATTACTGCCTTTCACTGGATTTATAATTTATGGAGACTCACCTCTTTCACAGACACAGCAGGTTTTTGACAGCAGATTAAAAGTGTTGTAATTTCCCTACTATAGTGTTAAGTAAATTATACTTACTATGAAATAATCATCTTTCATTTAAAATTATTTTAAAGTGCATTTATTTTACAAAATATAGCCACATTTTCAATTAGGGCCTAATTCTCACAATTGCCTAACTATTGATACTAACTATATGATGCACAATTGCCTAACTATATGATTTTTGCCTTAATAAACTTCTAAGTAAAGCTTATGAATAGTTAGTAAGGTAGTTATTAAGTTTAAGTGTTGGGTAGGATCACGAGATGTAGAATAAGGCATTAATATGTGCTTTAAAATACTAATAAATGGGCAATATACTAGTAAATGCATGCTAATATGAAACTAGTTAACAGTGAGTATTGGACCCTAAACTAAAGAGTTACCCAAAATATTGCTGCTTTAGGGATACTACTAATAATAAAAGTGGTATTATTATTAGGGCTGTCGAATGATTAATCACGATTAATCGCATCCAAAATTAAAGTTTGTGTTTACATAATATATGTGGGTGCACTGTGTATAATTATTTTGTGTATAGACCATTTCACAAGATGTCAACAACACTGGTCCAGAAACACTTCCTGTTTCAGTTTGTAACTGTTGTCTTTATTTCACATGTAAAGAAAACATCTTAAAGATGTTTGTTTAACTTTTTGATTCAGTTTTAAATGTTCTGTTGGTTGTATTTTATCCCAGCTTTTATGTAGTGTTAAAAAACTGAAACAGGAAGTGCTTCTGGACCAGTGTTGTTTACATCTTGTGAAATGGTCTATAAATACACACACATGCATGTATATTTAAGAAAAAAAATATTATTCATATATAAAATATTTATATATAATATAGATTATATATAAATCTATATACATTACATGAAAATATTTCTTAAATATATAAAAGCATATGTGTGTATTTATATACATAAAATAATTAGGTTATACACAGTGCACCCACATACATTATGTAAACACAAACTTTTATTTTGGATGCGATTAATCGTTTGACAGCCCTAATTATTATATTCTAATTAGGGCTGTCGGTTAAACGCGTTATTAACGGTGTTAATGCAAACACATTTTTACAGTGTCAATTTTTTTAACGCGCGATTAACAGTCTTTTTGGCCTAGCAAACTTTGTAGTTTTTTTCAAATGCTTTTGCAACAGGACGCGGCATGCGCTATGAAACCCATTCATTTCAATGGCTTGCTCCACACTAGGACGTTTTGTTGCTTCGTAATCGTCGACCAAAGCGCAAGTGGAGACCGGAAACAAAACAACAGGCACACCGCGCACATTTGTTTTGGCTTGCGAGCCGGCCAAATAGTTGGTTAACGTTACGTTTTGAGTGTATGACGAGTGTGAGACGCCGAAATGGATGCCAATAAGATTCTGAATGGAAAGTTTACTTTAAAAAGTTGCCAAATGGTTCCATTGCCCAAAGTGACCTGTGTGTTTTGTCATTATGAACTAAGCTATCATCATAGTATCACGTCCAGTCTGAAATACCAGCTGATGGCCAAGCACACACACAAACATACAGCTGATGCGAATACTCTGCCATTCTCTTCACTATCAGGACCTCGACACTATTTCTTTCACCCTTTTATTGATGGACAGTGTTACACTGTGTGAGATTATTTGCTCCAAGTGAGAATGTTAGAGTGAAATTGAACACAGTATATCCCAATGTTGTTTTCAATTAAAAAAATATGCACAAAGCAAGCCGATCCACTTTTCCATGTTGATGAGCATTAAAATGAGAGAAAAATTACGGGACAAAAAGAAATCAAGAGACATTTAGAATAGATAAAAATGTGCGATTAATGGCGAGTTAACTATGACATTAATGTGATTAATTGCGATTTTTAATCGTTTGACAGCACTAATTCTAATTGTTTGTCTTTCTGCAACATCATTGTGCGTGTAATGTAGACTGAGACACTATCAGAACTACAAACAGGTTTGAGTCCATATTAAAGTCCATCCATGTACAAGTCAATGCAAATACTTTTTTTACTCTGCTCGATTTGCACACCGAACATGGGTAGAGCTCTTATTTTTGAACTGCATTTAACTTTCAAAAACATGCATGGATGAATAGTTTATTAAGACGCATTTCGAAAATAGATGGTGAATTTTCATTTCATG